CACCGACAGGTCCCCGTCCGCCAGCGCCACCTTGCGGCTGATGAAGTCCCTGAACACCGAGAAGTCCGGCTCGGGGCTGGGCGGCTCCTGCTGCGGGAGCAGGTGGCGCTCGGAGGGCAGGCGGGACAGCGGGGGGCTGCTGCCCCCGCCCCGGCCTCCGCCGCTGCCCCCGTCGCCGCCCTTGAGCTCGCCAAAGTCATAGAGGCTCCGCAGCGCCGACATGTCGTAGGCCTCGGTGTCCTGCTCGCCGCCACCCTCGTCGTTGTATTTGATGACGTTGTCCCGCATGTCCTCGTCTTCGTCGGAACTCAGGTGGCTCTTGTGGTGGCGCCTGAGGGTGAGGATCAGCAGCACGAGCACTGTGTGGGAGACGGAGCGGGGCGAGTGAAGGCCGCCCGGGGCACCCCCCAGCCCCCCTGCCGTGGAGCCCCGGCCTCAGCCGGCTGCCTGGGAAGGAGCAGCTATAGCCGTCCTGGGAGGCGTGCAAACTGGGACCAGACCGCCACCGTCAGTGGGGCAGAGAGGGCGGCCTTGAGAGGTTTCATGGCTGTTGAGGGCTGAATCCAACCTCAACTCTATGAAGAGATACAGCACTTAGAGGTGCTGGGGGTTTTAAAGGGAGCAGCTGAGGGCTGGAGGAGTGAAAAATGTCCTTGACCCTGACCTCTCTTTCACCCCCACTCTCTTCTGCCCACTCCAGAAGTCCTGAGCACCCTCTTAGTCCTTGGAGTCTCAGGTCAAGACGTCTCCTGCAGGAGCCCTTCCCGAAGAGCTCCAGGCCAGGCTTAGGGCCATCACCTCCAAGCTCCCTTGGGGAGGGGTTCCTCCCTCTATCACACTGGTTCTCAAACCTCGGGCCCCGGACCAGCAGCAATCAAGCATCTTCTGGGAACTTGTTAGAAATGTGAATTCTCAGGTCCCACCCTAGATCTACAGGTTTGAGAGCGACCGCTCCATTATAGCACAGGCCCTGCTGGGTTAACATGTTGGTTTCCCCCACCCAAAAATACACACTCCACTACCCTCCAGGACCTGGGGGAATGGTCCTCTAGCTTGGTGCCTGGCATGCAGTGAGCATGTGAAGCATGCTTGTAGAATGAATGACTGAATGGAGAGTTGGATAGAAACCTGGGTGAGCGACAGGATGAGTGAATGAATGAATCATCCCTTCTTGGCTTTCTTCACTTGACTTCCAGTGCTCCCTGCACTCTGCCTCCTCCCGTGTCTCTGATCACTCTGTTATCTAAGCAGGCTTCTCCCCTCCTCTCCGACTTCTTAACATCAGATGTCCCAGGACTCAGTCCTTGGACTTTCATCCATAATCCTTCTATTGCACAATCCCATCTCCTTCAGTCTCATGGCTTTAAGCTCCATTTAGAGGCTGACAACTCCCGTACTGCAAACTCCAGCCTGGACTTTTCCCTTGAAATCTGGATTGTATGTCCAATTTCCTATTTAACAAGTCCTCTGGGTTGACCAAGAGAATCTCAAATTTAACTTGCCCAAATGTGAGCTAATAATCTTTGCCCCTTCCTCACCCTCAGTCTCCTCCATCTCAGTGATGGAAACCCCAACTTGCCAGTTACTCAGGGCTTTTAGCCTCTTCCGTTTGCTGATGAGTCCCAGTGCCTAGAACAGTTCAGCACAGAGGGGGAACTCACTGGATAGATAAATAAGGAACTGAGGAATGAAGCAGAGAATTAAATGGATAGGTGGGTGGATGGATGGGCAGACATGCTGGGTACTATGCCAGGGCCTGGATTCTTCTTGCTGCTCCAAACAACTCCAGCAGGGCCAGTGACCAGAGCCAGATGTTAGGGCCATGGAGCAGGGTGCTGGCTCATGGCCTAACAAGGTGGCTCATGACAGGGAAGGAGGTGGGGGCAAGGATAGGTCCAGAGGGAGGGAAGGTGTCAGGAGAGAAGTGGGGAAGATGGATGGATGGCTTTTGGAGCTGGAGGCTGGGAGCTGCAGAGGGGGATGCCCGTGAGAGCAGATGGTGGGGAGCGCAGGCGGCAGGCGACAGATGTGCCAGGCCCGATCAGCGATTCCGCCCGTCACCTTTAGAGCACTGATGTGCACTTTCTTCGTTTGTGGGCAATTAGGCAGAAATTTGTTTGCACTGCCTTGGAAAATGAAACCGCTGTAAAGTGCACCCTCTGGAAAAAGGGTTTCTGAGCCATGGGCTGAGGAGGGGAGAGAAGGGGGGCCAGGGCCTCCCAGCTAGGAGGAGCCTGCCCAGGGCCTCTGCAGGGACCTGGTGAGGTACAGCTTGGCCATACACAGGTATTCAGGGGGATGGGCAGTGGCCATATCAGTGGTAGGCAATGCGGGGTGGCAGGCAGTTGACATTTCCCAGGGAACTGAGCAAAGCTGATGTCTGCAACATGGGCTCCCTTGAGTTCCTCTGGCTCTCGCTGTTCCGTGAAGTCTAATAGTCAGGGCTGAGATGAGGAGAGGCAACATTATGACCACTTGAGTCAGTTTAGCTCCTGGAACTTGACCTCTTCACTGGGAACATGGTGGGGGTTCAGTTGGCTGCTGGTGGAACTGACACCAGAGTAAATTTTGACCCCAAATTCTTCAGATTTTGCCCCAGCTGCCCCAAGGTTTTGTCTCCCATTTAGATTCATAGCAGGTGGGGTAAGGGAACACAGGGTGAAAAGACATGATTTCAGGTCAGAGGACTAACTGTGCATCCTTATGCAAGCCACTTAACCTCTCCGAGCCTCAGTTTCCTCATCTGAAAAATGGGGATGATACACCTGGCTGAGTGGTTGTGAGGTTCACAAGGGCCCTTTACTAAAAGTCCTACATAGAGAATAAAATAGGACCATAGACAAGACAGAATTTAAAAATATGCTTAGTTTCTAAAAATTAGGGAGAGTTTGGGCCGTGTAGGGGGTGGGGCAACGTGACTTAGTCTCAGGTGGGGGTTGACACCGTCTGGAGTTGGTGGTGGGGCTGCTCTGTATTGAGAAGACTTCTCATGGGAGCTAACATGAGGAGCCTTCAGTACAGAGCAGCCCTTGGAGATCATTCAGGCCAGCCCTCCTTAGATGGAGGGGGAAACCGAGGCCCCATGGGAACTCCTCGGGAAGGAAATCCAGGGCCCCAGGATGGGGGCCAACTGGTGGCTCTTGGTGGACTCACCGACTAGAATGAGGACACAGACCAAGAGGGCAATGAGGGCGCCGGGGCTGAGGGAGGCGGCCATGACAAAGGCGGTGGTGTTGCAGGACTGGATGGCACCGGAGCTGTCGCAGCCACAGATGCGGATGGTGAGTGTGCCTGTGCTGCTGAGCGTGGGCGGCCCGCTGTCCACCACCAGGATGGGCAGGAAGAACACGTCCTGCTCCTGCCGGTTGAAGCCCAGGTGCTGCGTGTGCACTGCGGCTGTGTTGTCTGCGCCAGAAAAGGGGAGGGGCATGTGACTTGGGGTCCAGGGTCAGCTTTCCCTGTCTGAGCAGCTCCTGATTCCCTCTTGGGATTTGCCTCCCTATGCCCCAGGCTACAGCCTCCCAGCTAGCCTAGGGGTCTATTCTCCGATCTCCCCAAATTCTGTTACCAGTGTCCCCAAATTCTGCCCCCAGCTGCCAGAAGATCCTGTTCCCATCCCAGCCACATATCCCACAGTTCTGTCCTTAGCTGTCCCAAGATTCTGTTCCCAGCTGTCTCAAGATTCTTTTTCTTATTCAAGCTATTCCAAGGTTCTATCCCCAACTGGGCCAAGGTCCTGTCCCTGGCTATGTATTTTTTTTTTTCTTTTATCTGCCATTTGTCTCAACAGCCTGTCTTTGTTCCAGATTCCACCCTAGCTGCCCAATGCATCCTGACCCTGGGGACCTGTGGCTCTTGGATTGTGGCTTGCTGGGCCCTGACAAGTCTTGGGTCATCAGAAAAGACTGGGGACACTGGCTGGCGCCTTCCTTTGGCTGAAGAAGCTTTCTGTCAGGAGTCTAAGAGAGTGAGCCTGGAGGCATGGCCCTCAAGGCCTAATGAGGGGACCCTATCATTCCAAAGCTTCCTCACGCACCTCTTTCCTTTTTTTTTTTTTTAACACATGTGGCCAGAGAGGATGGTGAACTAACACACATCTCATTGGCCTGCTGCAGGAATGCCAGGCAGGACTTGGCGGTGTGTGTGTGTGTGTGGGGGGGTGTCTGGTCTTGGAACAAGGGCTTATGTGGCATGTGGTGCCCACTTCCCCTGGCCTTTTGCTTCCTCTACACCTCTCTTGTATGGGTCAGGCCATCCCTGAGACTCATCATTTTTTTGTGTTAATCTTCACCAGAGGATATTTTTTGTTGTTGAATTTTTAGAGACAATGGACGGGAGGGGGAGAGGCAGAAAGAGAGAAACATGGATGTGAGAGAGACACATCGATTGGTTGCCTCCTGCATGCACCCTGACCAGGAGGGGGATCAAGCCTGCAACTGAGGTACGTGCCCTTGACAGGAATTGAACCCGCGACCTTTCAGTCCTCGGGCCAATGCTCTGACCACTTAGCCAAACTGGCTAGGGTGAGCCTCGATCATTTTGATGGCTGCTAATGTGGCGGTACAGAAGTACTCAGAGTCCAGCTGGCCACTGTCCGCACCCTTCACAGCCAGCTCCACAAGAGGGGGCCCTGCCTTCCTGAGGCCTTCCCCCTGCCCTGGAAGTCTTGCAGCTGGTCACGCCGACCTCTGACTTTGGCAGCCTGGGTCCCTTTCCCAGCCCTTGTGGCCCCAGTTAACCCAGCCTCTTCTCCGTGGCCCCATTTCAGGGCCCTGTTTCTGGCCTTCTCTGTAATGGGCACAATGCAGGAAAAAGCCTTCGGAGGGCCATGCGGGACCTTGAGCGCATCTAGAAGTGGATTAGAGGTTCTGGTTTGAAGCTCACATGACAGGCACACGAGGCTTTGTGATATTATTCTATCCACTTTTACACCCATTTGAAAATTTCCACAACAATGTTAAAAATAATGCCAAGTCGACAATTTACTAGCTTGGGAAACTTAGCTTCTCTGGACATCAGTTTCCTAATCTGTAACTGAGGAAAATAGAATCACGTAGGTGTGAGGATTAAATGGGAAAATTCATGCAGAACCCTTAGAATAGTTCCCAGCACACAGAGAGTCCCAGCAAATGCTGGTTGTTCTTTCTCTCGTGCCCCACCCGGTGCTCCCGGGGCCGCCCCATGTGCCCCCCTCTGCCCAGGCTGCTCTGTCCTTTGCTCACCAAGCTCCCTCTCCACCCCCTTGCCTGGGCAGATTCCTCATCCGTCATGCTCCAGCTAAATGTCACCTCCTTTTTGTGGCCTCCTTTCTCCGCTTCCGTGGGGAGGAAGGATTTATGACTCCCCTCTCCCTGCTCTGACTACGCAGGTGCCATGCACGCTTCTGTTATAGCACTTGTCACATTGCGTTACATTAGCGTCGGCCCGTCTCTTTCCTGGCACTGAGCCAGACTTGAAGAGCGACACTTGAATGAACCACAACTTTTGGGGTAACGTTTGTGGCCCTTGGTTAGTTTCCTCGAGCTCCGGTCTGAACTCTAGCCCTCCCGTCAAAGACTGAGTGAACCGTCACTGTGAAAACACCTGCCTTCTCCTGGGGAAGAAATGAGGCTCGAGAGCAAGATGGTGAAAAGAGGGATTAGTGTGAAACTCTGCATGTGCTGAATGCTTTCTATGCGTGAGGACTGTGTGGCTACTTTAAACACATAGTAATGCTAATCTTTACACCCAAGAGGAATGACATTATCCCCATTTATATATGTGGAAGTTGGTGACTTATCTGAATTTATCCAGTGAATTGTTGGCATAGCTACCTTTTCCATCCACCCCAAATCACCCATTCATCTGTCCATCCATCCATCCATCCATCCATCCATCCATCCATCCATCCATCCATCCATCATCCATTCATCCACCCCTTCTTCATCCATCATCCATCCACCCATCATCCATCCATCCATCCATCCATCCATCCATCCATCCATCCATCATCCACCCATCCATCCAATAAACCTTTATTGAGTAACTACTATGTGCTAGGCACCATGCTAGTCACTGGGGGAAAACAATGTGCTAAACCAATAGTGCCGGATCTGAGTTTATATTCTAATATGAGAGACAAATATTAATCAAATAGACCTACAATTTAGTCTGCAATTACAAACCATGTTGAGAACTAATGAGGAAAAGTATAGTAAGAGCACCTACCAGAAGACCTGACCCAGTCTGGAAGGTCAGGGAGATCTTGGAAGAAGTGATATTATTGCTGAGCCCTGAATGATCAAGGAGTGGGAATAGCTCATGCAAAGGCCCTGAGGTAGGAAGAAACATAATACACTCAAAGAACCAGTTTTTTGTGGCTGGAGTGAAGAGGGAGATGGCTAAAGTGAGTCAAGATGAGGCTGGAGGGGGAGGCAGGGGCCCATCATGGGAAGTATTAGAGGCCATGGTAAGGAATTTGGGTTGTTTTCTTAAAATTAATGGGAGGCCATGGATTTGTGGGGTTTTTTGCTTTTGTTTTTAATTTTTAATTTGTTTGTTTGTTTTTAATCCTCACCTGAGGATATTTTTTTCCATTGTTTTTCAGATAGAGTAGAAGGTGGGGGATGGAGAGAGAGAGAGAGAAACATCGATGTGAGAGAGACACACATTGATTGGTTGCCTCCTGCACTCACCCTGACCTGGGCTGGGGATCAAGACTGCAACCGAGGTACGTGCCCTTGGCTGGATCGAACCCAGGACCTTTTAGTCTGCAGGCAGAAGCTCTAATCACTGAGCCAAACCAGCTAGGGTGGATTTGTGGATTTTAAGCAAAGAAGTGACTTCATGACATATCATTTGTTCATTCAACAGCAGATACTAATTGAGCACCCTCTACGTGTCAGGACTATTCTAACCCCTGAGGATACAGTAATGAGTAAGACAGACTCGGTCCTTGCCCTTGGTGAGCCTATATTCTAGAAGAGGAAGTTTCTAATGTAAAACACAAGAGTGGGTGTAGAAGACCAGTTAGAAGCTATTGTGTTTTAGGTGTGAAATAACAGCAGTAGTGGAGGCACAGAGAATTAGACAGATTTGAAAAATGAGTGGCTGGCTCTGGCTCAGCCTCAAATTTCCAAGCAAGAACAGAAGAGAGGAGAACAATGTTTTTTTCCCAGGGTTGCTGTCTTTGGCCATGGAGCCATATGTTTTGAGAGCTTTGGGCCCTGCCACTCTTTCACCCCATAAAAGGGACCCCCTGAGCACCAACCCTGAACCCCTGAACTGCCCTCCTGGGCAGTAGCTGGTTTCAGCTGGGGAAGCCATTGGCAGCCCAGACCCCTACCCCAAACTTCTAGGTGGAATCTGCGCCTAGCACCGCATCTATCCATCTGGCCTGACATATATCAGTGTCAGTCCCTGGCTGCAAAAGCAATATTTATAAATCATGTTTTCAAACTGGCTACAAATTTGTACAGAGAAACAGATGGGTTGGGGTAGCCGTTTGTCACCCTAGATATTTATACGATGAGGAGGGGGCCTGGCACACCACAGAAAGGGGCTGGGGGACAGGAGGAGGAGACCTTTCCTTGCTCCTAGGGCTTCTACCAGGTGGTCCCACCAGATGGAAGCTCTGGAGGTCTCCAGTTGAAGAGAGGCGTTTGGAGCAGAACCCTAGGCCCCTTGGGTTGGAAAGACTCATGAATTTAGAAAGGTCAAGCCAGGGCTATTTGTCTCTCCTGAGGCCAGCTCAGGATACCACTGGAATAATGAGGAGGCAGGGTTATTCTGGTTGTTAAAATACTGAAATACTTTCAAAAAGGTTTAAAAAGCTATGTCTCTGAGCCCCCCAAATCCTTCCCCGAGGCCTCAGCCTTTCCCCCAGGCACTCCCTAACTTTGACACAATCAAGCCACTAAGGGGTAAAAACCTGGCACAGCAGGGGCTCCAGAGTCCTGCTCCAGGTGATTTAAGACCAGTGTCCTTTCTGAAGTGTACCAGTTGTAAAATATTTTTAATATGACTCCTGGAAATACAGATGGATCTGGCTTCAGATGCCACTGAGTTCTCTCCCTTTGGAGGGAAGGGGTGTGAAGGTCTTGGGGTGATCCCAGACTTTTTCCAGGGTCAGAGGAACCAACATGGTGTGGCCCCTGGCACCTCTCTATTGACATCTCCTCCTGGTCCTGTCCCTCATTCACTTCAACCATGAGGGTCTCCTGTTCCTTGAGCATCCTAGGCCTGTTTCCACCTCAGGGACTTTGCACTTGCTTTTTTGTCTACCTGGATCATTTTTTGTCCAGTTATCTGCATGGCTCACTCCCTCGTGTCCTTTAGATCCCTAGTCACTACTGATTCCTTCAGATAGCCTTCGAAGACAATCTTATTTAAATAGCTTCTACTCTTACCCTGCTTTCCCCCCCTCCCCTCCGTTTAATACATTTTACTGAACACCTCCTATGTGCCAGGCACTGCCGTAGGCACCTAGGGGCCAGCACTGAATAAAACAAAGTCCAGCCTCTCGTGGCTATTGTTCCTCCCACCCCATAGCCACTTACCATCCCCAACTTATTCTTTGGTTCATTTTCCCCTCACTATATAAACTCCAGAGGGCAGGCATTTTATCTTGTTTGCCACTGTATTTTCAGGGCCTAGGACAGTGCTTGGCATAAATGCTCAATACATAATTGTCGAATGAAGAAAATTGCATGTTCTAGGTACTAACAATACACCTCAGTAGCCCTCATCTCACTGGGGCGACCTAGCAACATGGGTGGTAGGCATGTTCAGCACCCATTTTACTGATGATGAAAACTGAGGCTTACAGATGTGCCAGCCTTGCCAGAGTTGCATAGGGAGCTACCAACTGAGCCTGGACAGGAACCTAGGTCCCTTACTCCCAGTCCACTGACTGCCTCCTTCCCCCCCATCTATTCCTCAAAGGTTCTTGGGGAATTTCTTGGGGCAAGTCTCATAATGGGATCAGTTCAGGTGGGGCAGGCAGTTTCCTTTCAAGGCGCTGAGCTAAGGCAGGAAGTACACTGGGTCTGAGGCAGGCATGGGTTTGAATCCCAGCCTCCCCGCTGACTCCCTGTAGGGCCCTGGGCGGTCCTTTATCCTCTTAGAGTCTCAGTTTCAGCACCTGCAAGATGGAGGGAGGGGTAAGGAAACCACCTTCCCGGTGGCCATGAGGATGCAAAGAACCACGTGAGTGAAATAAAGGGTTTTTTAAGCTGAAGGGTGGGGTGTGGGGGGTACATATGGCTCATTTCAACCTTCCTTAGACCAGGGGCTCTTTCCGCCCTGGCCTCTGGCCTGCCCACTCCTCATGGATCACCTCTCTGTAGCTTTCCATCTACCGTTCCCTACAGCTGAGATCCCCCTCTCCACTGGACCACACAGCCCCCTGCCCCCCCC